GTGTCGCCGGCAGTGGGCTTCTCCTCCTTCTCCTCCTCCTTGTCGTCGGATTTCTCAGCTCCGTTTACTTTAGCCTCCGCCTCGACTCCTTCAATGGCGGCCACTGGCTTCTCCTCCGTCTTCTCAGCCTGCTTCTTGGCATTCAGCTGCTGGAGATGCACGGCGGCAATACGGATGAAGCTCACATAGCGATCCTCGATGAAGGCTTCGAGCAGCTCTTGGCGCAAGCAGCACAGCTTGTGCCGGTGCTCAATGGGGAAACCCATTTCGACCAGTTCCTTGCTAATCTTGACGTCCTGCAGCTTCAGGAAGTTCACATCTGGCGGGAAGGTGCGCAACAGGTCGAGGATGTAGTGCCTGCCATCGTTGCCGATGATGCCCTTGCACTCCACCGAGGAGCACAGCTCGACGGGCTCATCTCGCTCATTGAGAACCGCATGCGGCAAGATCTTTAAGTGCTTTCCCGCCTGACGAAGGAGTTCCAAGTACTTGGGATGGCTCAGCACCGTCTTGCCAAAGTCAATGGAGCCGTAGACCACGCTCTGCTCCTGCTCCCGCTCCAGAATTCCGGGGATAATGGACTGGGCGGTGACGCGGTAGCCACGATAATCGATCACCACGGTTCCCAGCGTGTACAATCCCTCCACATCCACGGCGTTGTAGACACGCACGCCATGCAGATCGTATCGCGGGGCAACAAAGGCAGCTGCGTCGCCGCCCAGCTCCTTGTAGTGGTCCCTCACATCGAAGCCCAGCGAGAAGAATATGTTGTTCCAGATAAACATCTGCATCTTGGAGTCCTCTCCGGGATTGATGGCCAGCACGTTGCCGTCAATCACGGCCATGGCGCCCCTCGTGGCGGCGGTCACAAAGTCTCCGTGCACCTTGAAGATGGCTCGCTCGCGCAGCAAGCGCTCTGGCAGTGTCTTGCGTGGCAGTTCCCGCGTCGTCTGCAGCTCCTCGTTCCAGTCGCGTGTCTGCCCGGGAATATGCTCCTCGTAGCTGTGAAGGATTAGGGGGATTATAATAAAGTTATGGCGAATAAATCGTATATTTATACCCGTTACTCGTAGAGTAAAAGGTATATTGTATTCGTGCAAAAGTGTGTAACAGCTAGAAGGAAGCGTTTCCGACCCCATAAAGTATATATATTATGTCTGTCTGTATGAACGCTGAGATCTCGGAAACTGTAAAAGCTAAAAGGTTGAGATTTCCCACACATATTCTTGGGCTTTCTACGCAGCGCAAGTTTATTTCAGCCGAACGCCACGCCCCCTCTAACGCCCACAATCGCCCACTAACGATTTTAAAATGTGTCCTGCGCCCATATCTTTAAAGATTTCCGAGAAGTAGAAATGCAATTTTGTTGTGTATATTAACATCTATCGAAATGTAGAAGACATTTTACAAATCGGACCATTCATTTAAAAGTTATGCGCGATCAAAATTTTTTTTTATATCCATCTCTTTCGCACTCCCGTTAGCTGATTGACGGGTATTAGATAGTCGAGACAAAATATAAAATATATATAACTCACCCCAGTTTAGAGCTGAAGGCATCCTCGGCGCGAATAGCGTCCACCGTGTGCTCCAGGGTGGGCGATGCCCACTGGTACACCTGGTAGGGCGTGGCCACCCGCTCGAAGGCGTGGCGCATGGTGCGTCGCTTCTGGATGGTCTGGAAGGCACGTCGGAACGATGGTGATATGTGGGAGAGCAGATCGATCAGCGAGTGGCTGAGGTGGCTGGGATTGTCGGGTTTGGGGTTGAAGGTGTCGTCCGTGGACTGGTTGATGTAGAAGCCTTTGGAGCAGGCGGAGATGTGGAAGCGTTTCTCCTCCATGGTGACAACGTACAGATACATGAGGTCGCCGTGCAGCTTGCGTGGACCAGGTGGTGGGTTCCAGGCGGAGGTAGTGAGCACCTTGAGGGCCTGTGGTCCCTTTGCGTTCTTGATATTCGGATGCAGTGGCAGAAGTGGCGGTTCGTAGACGCCCGGAGTCACATACTCCGGCGGCGTGCAATCTACGGAGTCCGGACGCGTCTTCTTCTTGTCCAACAGATCGCCCTGCGTGATCGTGTTTAAGTAGGTCAGCGAAGTGCAGTCGATGCCATTGTACGCGTCCGCCGGATCAAGGTTCTTGAGAAGATCGCGCACGTGGCGCACATGAATGCGGGCCTCACGCATGGTGTACGGCTCCTCCACCACCTTGATGGTGGAGCCCTGCTCCAGCTGTTCGATTGTCTTGAGCTCGGCGAAATTATCCAGCGTCACGTTGTCCAGCTGCAGCGAGAAGCAGGTGCGATGGCAGGTCTCCTCGCGGTCCATCAGCAGCTGGTGGATTTCCTGCACCAGTTCCATGCTCGACAGCTGGACGCAGAGCAGGTCTGCGCCGGGACTGCTGATGTTGACCGTGATGCCCACGTCATGCAGGGCATCCAGATCAATGTCCTCCGCATCCGCCTCGGCATCCGGAGTTGCGCCGGCCTCCGGTTTCTCCACATTGGCATTGGCATCGGCGTCGCCATCCTCTCCAGCTACCTTCTCGGCATGTCCGTTGCTCAGACCGGCTTCCACGGGTTTTTCAGCAGTGGGTTCGGTAGGGCTTTTGTTACGGTTCTTCTTGCCTGCAAGGGGGCAAAAAGCGTTATTTGTTAGTCAATATTATGATAGGCATCTGGAGCGTTCTGTAACATATTCAATGAATAGGGGACACATGAACTTTGGACCGCTTTTTATTCAAATGTCTCTACTGCAAATCTTCTACGAATCTATTCTTTAGTGTAGACGACACCATTTGGGATACAATTTCATAATTTCTAGACAAGCTCTTTGTTGCACATGGGGAAAAATATTAAATTATATTTCTTTTTTGACTGAATCGAAATCTCATTAACTTCCTGAACTACCATTATATTATATTCTGTTTATATGCTGTTATTTTTATTAAAACAATTTGTTCCCCTGCTTAAAAAATTAAAAGAAAAAAATTAAGGAAAAGTCCCGAGAGCTGATATTGTTTTGGATACTCTTATACATTTTTTATAATATTTAGTTTTTATACTTTCTGGGTTTGGATTTAGGAGTTTAGTATGAGTGTTTTTTAAAATGTTATAATGAAGTTTTTGCCCCAAATTTTGTAGTATGTTGGAAAAAACATAAGAAATTATGCAAATCAGCCAGGTGGACGAAATTCAAATGAATTTCCCACATCTGTCTTCTACTTTCGTGGTAACTTATAGCTTCGATTTTTACATAACAATACCGCATGTTCGCATACAGCTGCCGCTCAGTGTGCTTGTGTTCGCCGGCACTCACTGAAGATACAGCAAAACAGCAGAAAAACAAACAGACAGAGGCAAGCAGGCTGATAAGGTTAAAGGGGCCGGGTTCGTTGGATTCGGTTCGTTCGGAGTCCGGACACCCAACGAATAATCCAATCTCCTTTCGATTCCCGATCTCTCGGGGAAATGAGCTTAGCACCTCCATGCTAATTTCAACAGCCACATACTAAATTACAGCACTGTGCGATACGGAGAGAGCGCAAGAGAGTGGGAGAGCGGAGAAAGCAAAAGTGATAAGTACAATGTACATTAACCGCAAGAGAGCCGGAATGAGAGAGGGAGATTCTAGAGCGATGCGGAGCGTCTGGCGGATAGAAAACATGATTTACATAATTGTAGAGCAATTTGCGTGTCTTAAGTGCATGCATTTCGGGCCGTGCACGTGTTAATTGTAGGTTAAACGCAACAAGAAATCCGCCCGGGGGTTAATGAACATTTTGCCGCAGTCGCCGGGTTAATAACATGTGCGTTGCCATGCCAAGAGAATGGGAGAGAGCGGCACACTTGCAGCTCTCACACGCATTAAACTCCAATACACACACATTTACGATTGCAATTGTAACGCACGCGGTTTCTAGAGCGGGCGGGGGCAGGGGAGGGGCGGCAAAGGGGGCGGAGGGGCAGCCATAGACAACGGGCGCCGCTTTTGAAGCATTATAGGGGAGAAAAACGGCCATTACGTAATGCTAAAATTGTTATGTGATTGGGTTTTGCGGCAAATAAAATATTGAGGCAGTTTCCAAGGCAGCAGCAAAAGGGGGTGGTTAATGGGGGGCACAGACATGGGCGTAGGCGGAGAGTTGAACGCACCTTTCTTCTTCGCGGCCGGACCGTCGGCAGCCGTGCCATTGCCATTGACCAAGTTCTGATTCTGATTCGGATTCTGATTCTTTTTGCCGCCGGCCGTGTTGTTGTTCTCCTTGGCCTTGCCGCCGCTCTTTGTTGTTGTCGCATCGCCCGTGGCCGCCGCCGCATTCGAATTCTTCGCCTCCGTCTCAAGCGCCATGCTATCAGCTCTCCTGTTCCTGTTCCGCTTCCCGATTCACCTGCAAACCAACACAGCCGAAAACACAGCGTTCTAGTTCACGTTTCTTCTTCTCGGCCCGTCCGTCCGTGTTACACAACTCTAACCGCTCGCCGAGTTCGGGATTTCGATTCGAATTCGAGTGTCTTTCTGGTCGCTTGCGAACCTGACTGTTGTTTGGCTTGGGCTAACGACCTCGTTCGCATCTATGACAAGTGGCTCGTTGGTAGTCCTGTTCTTTTCAGCACATTACTATCGAGGATATAACTCGGCCGATCCGATCCGCTAGAAAATAACGCGTTATTATGTTGTTGACGGCTGAGAGTGTGGCCCCCGGCTGAAAGTTCGAAAATGCCGCTGGAAGGGCCTGTCACCTGCTTGGGTTTGGTATTTTTTCGGTGTTTCAGTCAGTATTTTTTGAAAGCTAGAGCAGGAAATGGAGTGCGTGACACGACAAACCGGTATATTCTAAAAATATTAATTAAATTTATTTTTAAAATGCTTTAGCAAGCAAACAATTTCAATCAAAATCTTTTTTAAAAAATAAATTTAATTACATTCAGTTACATTCGAATTGAGTTGGTATTTTATCACTTTTGCATTACAGCCTCACAAAAAATACTGTTTTTGTTTTAGGAGAACAAAATGTCGCTTATAAAAAACTTGGTAAAAGAGCCGGAACATAAGCCGAAGAAAAAGAAGAAGGATGCAGGATCTGGTGACAGTGATACCGAGGACAAGCCCCTCCGACCATTCGTCAAAACCGCCACAGATCTGCAACGGCTGAAGCTGGAGAAACTGATGAAGAATCCGGTATGTTTTGAGCGGCTTGCTGGTTTTACTTCTTACTAATGGGTTCTTTAATTAACAGGATAAACCCATCATCATACCTGAGCAGCGTCGCGAACGGGACTTCATGTCCTCAGTGCCCACCTTTGTGCGGAATGTTATGGGCAGTAGTGCCGGCGCGGGATCCGGAGAGTTCCATGTGTACCGCCACCTGCGCCGCAAGGAGTACGCTCGCCAGAAAAACATCCAAAACCAGAGCTCCCGCGAAGCTGCAGATGAGGCATACCAGCAGAAGTTGGACGATAATCGCCGGGCGGCCGAAGACAAGACAGCCAAGAAGAGAGCCAAACGGCTGAAGAAAAAGCAGCGGGCCAAAAAGCCAAGGGAAGAAAAGAAGCCACAGGCTAAGGAAGCCTCCGAGTCTAGCAACACAGATTCAGAGGAGGAGAAAGCTCCAGAAACCGCAGAGGAAAAGCCAGACACTAACGTTGATGAAGAGAAAGAGGTGACTTCGAAAGAAACCCAGGAACCTTTAAAAGAAAAGACAACAGAGCCAGATTCAGAAGTCAACAATGAAGAATCTTCTGCAGAACCCACTAAGGAGGGCGGACAGTCACTAAAAACAGAAACCACCGAAGAAACACCTAATGTAGAACAAGAAACAGACAATCCCAAGCCGGATAATGAAAGTCAGCCATAAGTTCCAATTGTACCCCTATAAATAAACTAGTTATTAATAAAACAAATTGCAGTTTTATTTGTAGTACTTTTGTAATATATATTAAGCGATTTCTATACATCGCCTGAATCTGGGTTTTCATCTGAGGCCATCGTTCTAAAGCAGTTTGGTTGAGACAAAAGCAGTTTGCGAATCGCATTGAGTTTTCATGGCTGTAGTGCGCATTTTGTTATCTTATATCAATAAAGGTGCATCAAATGTTGCATTTGCGAGTACAATAAATGCTTTCAAAATTTGACATCGAAGGCAATACATAGTCAAGACTTGATTATACCCTTGACAAAAAACCACTGCTCAAATTCTGGGCATAAACATTTTCTTTTTGGTTTCTTGAAGAAGCAAGTTTTTATTGATTCCATTAATTTGATTTCTTTGAATCCAAAATATCTTTTCTTCTAATTGCTGGATTTTTCTGTTTTTTTCTCGGATACATCTATGCGATTTTTCGTTTTTCCACAAATAATTATTTATATTATATTAATATGTAGGTATATTTTTTGCCGTTGCTCTTAAATAAACAATTACAAATAAATTTGCAGCATTTTTCTACTATATAAACCGTAAACGTAAATTATATTTTGAACTTAAAGCCAACTTAAACTTGTAAGCATTTTGAAAGGTATTTGTTTTTGTTGAAGATCCTTTCGCGAAAAAGAACACAAAACAGGACTTGGGCAAAGTGAATACGGTAAAAAGTAGCAAATGGTTGTTATCGTAAAAACTACCTCAATTATGGTAAAAAGCATGTATTCAAGTAATTCTCAATAACAAACTTCTCTTTGTGAGTACAAGTTTTCTAAGTTGTTGAAATACTTTCTTTTGCTTATATTTTCATCAGCGAATTTAGCTATTATTATGCTTAGTTTGCAAACACTTAAACACGTCAACGTCATTGAATTTACGAGTGAGTGCGAGTGCTCGGGTACATTTTGTGGATGGAGAAACATTTCTGTGCCAACTGGAACCATTAGCTGTCGAATGAATAACGCTTTACCACAGTAAATACTTTCCATTCTTATTGAATTCTGTGACAAACTCAAGGTTTGGGTGCCTGTTTGCTTAGCGAGCCTGTGCTGGGGTATAAAGAGCGGGCGCTTTAACTTTAAACGATAATCGTAGGTAGGTATATTTTTTAGGCATTAATGTATATGTACTTTGTATATAGTAGGTAGGTAGTTAGTTTAGTTAGAGGGTTGTACAATTAAATAAATAATTCGTTTTCGCCAGTTTCATTCAGTTTTAAAATACAATTATGTTCATTTTGCTGTCGGACGCTGACACAGAAAGCGTCTGGAAAATAAACTTCCGCGGAGGTTGCTGAGACTGCTCGAGTGTGTGGGTATGTGATTTAATATATTAACTTTATTTATGTTTAAATTGAGAAGTAAGCAGAACCCTTGCCGAGTTTTCCTTTATTTTAACGGCATTCCCAGACCTTAACTGTTTGATCTACGCTACCGCTAATAACGTACGGATGCGCTTTGTGAAAATCTGCAAAGGAAAATGATTACAATATGTTCGATATTAAAGGATTCCGTGATAAACGTACCTATGGAGGTGCAGAAATGCTGATGCGCGTATAGCGTCTTCATGCATCGCTTGTTGCGCAAGTCCCAGACCCGGATGGTCTTGTCATCGCTGGCCGACACCAGGTACTTGCCGCCCGGATGGAATGCCAGGCCACGCACCCAGTTGTCATGGCCACTCAGCGTGAGCAGGCAGAGGCCGACGCTCACGTCCCAAATGCGAATGGTTTTGTCGCGAGAGCCGGAGGCCAGGAACGGGCCCTGGTGGTGGCCCTTCTTGTTGTCCGCTCCGGCTGCCTCGTTTATCGCCGAGGCTGCGGCTTCCGGCGCCCAGGCAATGCACTCCACGGTATGCTCATGATCGCGTAATTCAACCTGCAGGATAACCAAATCAACGTGAGACACCATCGCCAGCAGGGGGCCACAACTCGCGCTATGCTCACCTTGCAGTCTTTTGAATTCGTCAACCAAACACGTATTGTCTGATCATTTGAGCATGTGGCAAAGATGCTGCCTTCGATGTGCACTCGCACCATTCGCACCCACTCTCTGTGGCCTGTGTAGGTTTTCACACAGTAGCTGGGGGGTGGGAAGATAAGTTATCATTCTTACGGAACGTTCTTCTTCGCAACTTACCCTGTGGCCACCTCCCACATTTTGATGGTGCGGTCTCGCGATGCGGACAGTACGTAGTCTCCGGCGGGCACAAAGGCCACCGACGAGACATTGTGATCGTGACCATGCATGGTTTTGACACACTCGTAGCTCTGCTGGAAATCCCACAATTTGATGGACAAGTCCGCGCTGCAGGAAGCTGTAAAAGAAACGAAATTCCATGAATTGGGTTTGATAATTTATTAAATAATAGTAGATCTTACCCAAAAGCTTGCCCTGGGCATCGAATGCCACATCCTGCACCGAGTCTGTGTGTCCCTTTAGACTGCGCTCGTACTCGCCAGTTTCAAAGTCCCAAATCTTGATGGTGGCATCTTCGGAAGCGGAAACCATTAGACCAAAAATGGGATGAAATATAACCTGTAAAAATTATACAATAATTTAGTTGTTAATTACAGATTCTTATGAATTTTAAGTAGCCAACTTACCCTCGTTATGCTGGCCCGATGACCGGTCAGGGAGAACTTCTCTGGTGGCCTCGGTATCCACTCGCCGGGCGTCCGTTTGTTCTTTGTGGGCGCACCCTCGATTACCTCCTTCTCAGCTTCGGTGAGCTTAGCCTCTAGTTCCATCACTTTCTTCTGCAGCCGGATGACGGACGTCCACTTCTTCTCCAGCAGTCCACCAAACTTCTTTTCCGCTTCTGTGCTGAGATCGGCCTCCTTGCGGAAGGTCTCCAATGAGTCGGCGTAGCCATTTGAGCCCAGGTAATCGGCAATCGCTTGGTTACTAATTAAGAAGGGATAACAATGATTAGTTACTTGGTAAGAAACCTATTTTAGTATGAGTACTTACAGCTCCTCGCGCTGCCGCTGCGACAACACCATTTTCATACTGTTTTCCGATTTGGCTTGTTTTGCGCTGCTCTCGTTTGATTCGTTTTACCGCCTTCGATTCGTGCAATTCTGCAATGGGAAAAATTGATATAAAATGAGTTAAATATTATATTAAAAAAGCTCCATTAAAATGGTATCAGAAATTTTCTTAATTTCGAGTTAAAAATCTTTTTTTTTTGTGAGTTAAATCCTTTGATTAATTTTAAATTACTTTATCGAAGTTGTACTGTATAATCATATGATGAATTACTGTGACGGAGACAGGAAATTGGTTTCGCAAAAGTTAAATGCCAAAAATGCCAGCGAGTTTCGTTTGAATTCTCATGGAGGGCAAGTCACCCACATTTTCTTGGATTTTTTTTGGCAACAGCATTTGTGTTTCTTATGCTCATCTTTCGTCTAGTCATTATATTGTTTTATTCTCTTTTTTTTCAAACCCAAAGCGGAGCATCATCATTATCATCGTCTTCGGTTTCTGGCACAAATTTCTGTGTTGCCTCGTACCTCGAATAATTGGACAGAGAATAATAATCGAAAAGCTGGTAAAGCTCGAGGCGAACAGCCATTTGGTAGCCCTGCAATCAAACTGCACTCGTCATCAATAAGTTCAAGGGTCGATCGGCAATCGCGAACATCTAAGCTTCCAAATGGAATTAGGCAAAAACAACTCGGTAGCCGGTTTTCTACAATTAGTGTGTGTGCCAGACCCATTCAATCAACTCAAGGTGGACAAATCACAGGTGTATAGCATATAGCACGCAATAAAACCGCAATCGGAAACACAAAAAGCGAACGCATATCTGGCGTACTTGATAACAACGATGGACAAATGGACAACTGAGCGGACGCGTTGCCAACTACCAGCAAAATCGACGCTGGGCAAGGCAAAGCCAATTAGCCGGACTTAACGGTAGTTCAAGCAACTTCTTATAGGTAAATAAGGCTGCGAAAGAGCGTGCGAGCGAAGAAGCAGAACAAACACAGACACCAGCGGTGGGAATAGTAGTGGCCCTATTTGATTTATATTATTTTTCAAATGTAATAAAAAGCTTTTAAATAAATTTATTAAAAACCGAACATAATTCTATTATAGCAAATCCTTCTGGTTTAACACAATAAGTTTAATAATAATAATTTATAATTAAAATATATATTAAAAAAATAAAACTCTACTCAAACTTCAAGCTGTTCTTAAGTCCAAACGTCTCGATTTCAGAGCCATTTGTTTGGCCCCAAGTGTAAAACACATTTTCACACATTCACGGACTAGGAAATGACGTTTTCAAATTATTTTTGGCCAAATGATATTTAACGATTTTTTTGAACTAGCAAAAATGGCAAAAACAAAAACTGACCAAACGGGTTCGGGACCGCAACTCAAACTGAATATAGCCGTGAGTCATGTGGACTGTGAGCGAGACTTGGACTGCTCCACTGCCTTATCAGCTGTGTGGACGGAAGGGAACACTCTGCGCTCATCATTTAAATATTGTAGGTGGATGTTTGCCTGCCCGCTAACTGCGCATCTAAATATATCCCAGGAAAATCAATGAAAAGCGTAGCGAACGCGTCACAAGAACTAATGGAAAAGTGGAGCGTGGGCAGCGGCGACGAGTGGGGTTAAGATGGGGTCCCTTTAACCCCCCAATGGCGAATGGAGTCAACGGCGTTTGTGTTGTGGCAACCAGGCATTCCAAAACACCAAGACATGCGCATTGTAACCGTAAATCAGTGGGTGTGTGCCACATAAGAGAAATAACAATAAGAAGGGGGCGTTTCGGGTCGCACGCTCTGCCAGAAATGTTACTAAATCAGTTGAAAAAATGCGATTCTCATTGTTGCACTTGCCCAAGCTAATTTAATATTTGAATTTTAAATGCTCTCGCGTGGGCGTGAGAGCGAGACAGTTGGCAGGGAGAATAGACCAGGGCTGCACTCTGTACACACACACTTGCGAATTAAGGATGCCTCTGGGATCTTTCCCTTCCACTCACTCCCCCTTTTCGCTACACTCTTTCTCCCGCTCTGGCAAACAGACCTTGCACTTGCCTCTGCTTGTTTATTTGCGTGTTTCATTGATTAACACACACAGACCCACACGCGGCGAGCGAATGCAACTGCAATTTCAAGTGCAAAGAGAGAGGGAAAAGGAAAACAATAGCCCAAAAGCTTTGAACTCCAGCTTTAACCCCCGGCGGTCTAGGAAAGCAGGGACTAACAGTTTTTATTTGCTTCACATTAACCCATTGGTGGGAACAATGTGCAAAAGCTCGCCAAATAAATTGAAACAATTTGCAGTATCAGGAGCGCTTTCCACACATTCTGGGAAATCGCAACGGGTCTTGAATACCTAAAAGAATGCCGCAGTAAAAAAACCCAAAACGGAAAAACTGTAAAAGACAAGAACAACAATAAAACGAGATTTCTTGTGCATTGGCAGAACTGGTTTGGGCTATTTTTTTAGCCAGCTATTAGGTATTGGGCGGTCGGGCGTTAAGGGGAATGGGAAGTATGCAAGGAATCGCCATATCGCCCAGTTCGGGGACTTGACTTGGCTAAAAATCGATCAATTCCGCTTTTGGCGAGGGGGAGGACTCCAACACATGCGCGAAATCCACAGACATCGACACTCACAGGCACGCACACCAACGCACGCGATGTGTCATCGCTTTCTGGTGGTTGTAAAAAATGTAATCGTTGTTTGTTTCTCCACTTATTTACTGATTGCTTTTTGTTCAACACACTCTGTATATTGTGCATAATTTGCATAACTCTTTCGCTGGTTTTCTCATTTTCTTTTCAATAACAAACACACAAAGCAACACACAATAACAACAACAGTTCGAACGAAAATACTGTTACGACGGCCATCTTGGATAGAGAGAGGGGCCAAGAGAAGAAGTGTCCCAATGGCAATATGCAAAATGGGGGAAAGGACAAATATCTAAGTGTCCGCACTATATCTCGATTTTGGCCGATTTCAATCATTTGCTCGGTACATAACGCGCGCACTAACACTCTGCCACGGACAGTGTCTCGTACATATGACATTTTTTCTCTCATTTTTTCTAGTTGCCCATTTACACACAGTTGCGAAAATTCCATTTTGCCTGGGTGTTTTTGTTCAACGCGGCGAATTGATTATGGGTTTCCTTTACATTACTTACATCAATTTAATGTTTCATATATTTATAATCGCGTTTATTTATGCTTAATTACGAAAAGAATTACGCAGAAAATGACGAGCGACGAAAATGCTTCGAAAAGTGTGACCGCAGCGGGGTCAGCTGAAAAATCATCACGGGACTATCGATAAAGGTGGTCATACTTGATATCGATGTTCTGATAGGCTTTAAAGCTTGTCCGTTAAAAATGTTTATGACTATATTGTTAAAAAAAAGTATCTTAATAATAATAATAAAATATAGGAAATAATTGGGTTACCACAGATAATTTTTAGACAAAACTTTAGTACGTACTTAGATATTGGCGCAGTGTGAACAGTACAGAAAATTGGCGGGCTTTTTGAAATGAGTTTACCTAAAGAGATGACTTTGTAAGGAATTCAAGGTGAAAAGAAAGTAATTAGTTGGAAAATAAATAACCTTCATTAGTTGCGTTTGCTCAGACTTGTAAAGAGCTAGAAATAATTAAAACCCGTTTAACCATTTCTGACCAAATTGAGTTCTTGATTAATCATACCTTACCTTTTTAATAATACTTTCATTTTATTTTACAACTACCTAATTCACTTGTCAACACTGCAGTTAACTTGTAACTCAACTGAGTTTGTTGTTATCTTACTCACACACTCGCGATGGGAGTAAACTTTCCTTATCAGTAACCACTCAGCGCCAGAATAACACAACCGATATGCGAGAATTTCCTTTGGCGCTCAGTATTTGAGAAACTCTCGGCGGAAACGGTTATATTAGCTAGTATTCGGGCGAAACTTTCGATCTTAGTAGTACTAGTGCCCAATATTCGCGGTCTCGCGCTCCCCGAAAAAAGCAACAATAAAATCCACAATCTGTCACCTGTGAGTGCAGTGTTTCCAGCAATATCTGAACCTTTCATTGTGCAAATTGCCGAATAATGTAAATCATTTGCCAAATTTAGGCACTCCAAGTGTTATCAGTGATCGATTTAATCAGCCATTTGTACGCATTACACCCCCAACCAAGATAAACGCTGATCGCTCGATCGATTGAATATGAATCGATTGTAGATGATTCATATTGATTCAACGGAAGCTAATCCTGTTATGGGAAATCCTGGATATTATGGCGTTTAAGTTCAGAAATCGAAAGCCATTTATGACCCATCCATATGTTTGTCCTTATCTGACCGACACTGATTATATGTCCATGATAAAGGCCGCGTGTGTAACCGTTAAATTGTTATTATTGGCTTTGGTTATTTGGTGTTTGGAAAACCTCGGAGTAATAGCAATGTGATTTGTTTAACCAGACCAACGTAGAAAGAACCTGGCAAATTGTCTCCATTCCCCAGTTTCTGTTTCTGATAACGCCGTGCCATTAATAAGTATCGGAAAGTGTCATTTTATTTGCTTTAAAGAGGCGAAGAGCCTGCTTCCGTCGCGGTGACAACTGAAATTAGTAATTAGTGCTGCCAATTTCGAGGTATTCATTCGATTAGAGCCTCCGTGACGCACTCGCATATCGGCTATAGTTTATATCTATTGATATTACCCATTCCTCCCCATAAGCGAATGCGTGATGGGATTGCAAAAAAAGCCCAGCGAATCAGTCGTTAATTTCTGCGAGTATTATTGGGTTGTCCAACAAGCCAGATTACTATCAGTATCTCTACCACTGGCCACTTCTCCAGCATTTCGAGTGCCTCGATAAGATTCTCCGGATCCGAAAATATTGCGCCTGACATTGGTCGCGGTTTAAGCGGTTTCACCACTCCCTTCCTCAAATCCCCACGTATTCCTGCTATAATTAAAATCCGTGACTACGACCCGCCGACTTTCAGATAACTCCCTGTAGTATCTCGTCCCCGTTTATTGTTTACATTTTCCAATTACTTGTGGAATTTCTGAAATTACCATAAATCGCTCAGTGGCTAGTGGGATTCGAAAGCATACGAGATTGTATCAAATATTTATGTATTCCTTCATTTGTTGCGCTGGTCAGCAACTCAGGGATCCAGAATCATCGCTCCGAGAGATTTACGAAAGTTCGGCGGCCACAAATTGTTTACGAATCACCTTTCGTTTGCGCACGTACAGTGAACTCTTATTTATTTGTGTTTATACACAAATTAAAAGTGTATAAGCCAACTGATTTGCAATTGGGCGAGGTTAATGCTTCGCGGAAAATCCCAGAAGCAACCGGTTGCTTTAGCTCCTCGGCGATAGCCATTAATTATTAATAATTAATAACGCATTACTCACTGGAACAGCAACTGAAGCAATGAGGCCCTAAGATGGACACCAGACATTGGAAGCCATCGTTCAAGGTTTACGGGTTGATCCTGACCCTATGGATCGCCTGGGTCCAAGGTCAAACCGATCCTTCGCCCATTCCAGTGGTTGGGAGCCAGGAACTAGCCGATAGTAAGTATTACTTTCTACTTGAAAGCTTAAAGAGAAAGTGAGGATAGATTATAGATCCCCTACTATTACACACAAAAAAAAATGGATAGGAATCGTAGGTCAATTTGACCTTTTTTAATATCCTTTTTAACTTGATATGGCGCCAGGTAAATGTGATATGGTCGAAAATGTAAAAACGAGAAAACATGCTTGAAGTACGTCAGTTCGAGTTTCGAATACGTCTTTCTCGCTTCCACTCATGTCATTTTGCTCGCCATATTGACTCCTGCGCTCTTTTTCGAAGTTAGAGAATCTCAGAGAGAGAGAATTCGGCAAAATGATATTATTTAATGTAAATTTTATGAATATTTCAGGTAGAATGGATATGAGTATGAATTACCTGAAAATTACCTGGACTTATCCATTTTACGGCGACGTGCTTTTTTTTGTGTGTAACTATATCCAAAATTGAAATAATACTAATTCTGATACTTGGTTACTTTCAGAGGTCGAGGTGGCTGTGGTTTCTACGGTCTATACGCTCGGCTTCAGCATCCCCGATGAGACGGACTACTCCATTGAAGGAGTCACCTGTCGCAATGGATCCGGAACAGAGACCAAAGCCAACGAGGCTAACGTGTGGTAGGGAGGAATATCTTTAGTTTTGTGAGATCTATTAACTTTAAACCTCTTATAGCGAAAACCTTAATCCATGCACTTTCTACTCGTGTGTGGTTTCATTCCGATCAAACGTCGTTGGCATGCACCCACCTACAGATCAAACGATCTATGCCTACACCGAGTATAAACGTGAGTTAGGATGGTACTTTAAAGAATATTAGTACTATTATATCTTGATCTCACAGAGCCCAGGACCACAATGACCTCGGTGGTGCCCACGGCGAATACCATCAAAGTGACCTGGCAGACAACCGATCGCTCCTGTGTGGAGTCCTTTGAAATCACGGCAAAGACGGCGGATAACTCAAAATCCGCCATGCAGCTAAGTGACAAGAATTCGCAAACTTTTACCGAACTAAATGCCTGTGTGACCCACACTGTAACCTTGGCCACACGGAACAACGCCAGTATCGTGGTGGATACGGATTCCACCGAAGTGGACACTCAGTACGCGGAGCCCGGTGATCTCGCAATGAATGTTACGAATCTACCCAGTGGCATTACGATCGTCTCGTGGGGCGATCCCACCGAGAAGAACTGCATCAGCAACTATGTCTTCAAGTGGAGGCGCGAAGATTGCGGTAAGGATCAAAATCTGGATACAACCACGGAGGAACCCAGTACTGAAACTACGAGTGATACGGATTACGTCACTGCCACCACAATAGAGACCACTCCGGATGACTCCGGCAATGAAGGTGAACTTTGAGTGCCCTCAAAAGATTATTATCTTTTTTTAAACCCTTACTTTCTTTAAATAGTTGTGTGCGATTGGACGGACGTCTCCTCTGATGGCAAGTTGAGGGAATACCTCTTGACCGATCTTCAGGGATGTGAGCCCTATACCTTCGAAGTGTTTATCAACGAGAATAATACCGCCAAGGCTTCGCAACAGTTCACTTCGGCCGAAAAGGGTGGGTATTATAAAAGATCATAGATCTAAGTAATCACTATATTATATTTTATAGCGGTCAGTGCCATTTATGAACCCAATCCTACTGCGGCCTCCACCCAGTTGAATTGGACTTGGTCGGCTCCCCAAAATCATCCCAGGTGTGTGGCCAACTACAGTGTGAAGTTGACGGGACCCACTCAGCGATCGGAGAACCAAACCTATGAGTTAGTTACACAGGAGAGGTTCGCTACCTTCGAGAACCTAGATCCTTGTGGGATATACATTGTGGAGATTGTGCCGACTCAGTTAAATGGGACCTCAGGAGCCAGGTACCAAGAACAGAGCACCGTCGGCGAAGATCGTAAGTTGATCCGAACTTCTTCTAACTCTGAGAAACTAATCATCTTCTTGTAGAGCCCACTCAGATCTTGGATCCCGAGGTGGAACCCGCCGCCTATTCGATGGTGGTGAGCTGGAAAACACCCGCCTACGCTGATCTCTGCATCGATGGCTACCGTCTATCTGGTTGGATGGAGGACGACAAGTTAGTTGAGGTCGAGGCTCTAAGTGTTAGTACCCAGAATACGACCGTGACCTTCGACAAGAATCTTCTGGCCTGTCAGGTCTACATTATCCAGATCATACCATATACCAGAGAAAGTCTCGACGGTCAGCTGAAACAGATCGAAGTGGAGACCAATGCAGCTATAGTCGATAGCTCCAAGGTACAACATTTTTAAATATATTTAGTTTTAATTTAGTAATTCGAAATTTTCCCTTAATAATAAAGGTAAAGCTGGAAATGAAGCAAGCGGGCTCTGATTTCATCGAGTTAACCGCCTTCAATGCAGACTATAACAACACCTGCGCGACGATCTTTGCACTTTTTAGCTGCAATGCCACCACCACAGTACGCAATCCATATGCCGAGAGCTATGAAGAGGGTCACAGCAAGCAGGGTGGGTTGGTGGTCACATTATAAACCCTCGGAATAATATTCTAATCCCAAGTAATTCTCAGGTTTCAATACAAGTCTTAAACCCCTTTCCCCATACACGACATACGTCTGCAAAGTGGTGCTATACAACATAGCTGGACCTTCCGATCCACTCACTTTGGCTGGTGTGAAGACCACAACCTACTGTGAGTATTCCCGAAATCCTTACTTTCAAGCATTGAGATTACGATCCAATATTAATTGCAGTTCCGGAGCAGCCTGAGAAAGTAGAGCTAAGAGACAACACCGAAAGCAGCCTGATGTTCGCCTGGGATGCACCCACCTACACAAATGGACCTATTAAGTACTACCAGGCCTTCCTGATGCGCCACGAGCCCAGTTACTTTGTGCCCGAGGACTGTGACGCGGTGGAACAGGATACCAAGTCGGAGACCAAGGGCGAGCCGAATGTGAACTTCACGGGCCTGGCTCCAGCGGTGCGATATATGATGCAGGTTGCGGCACAAAATGATTTCGGAATGGGTCTGTATACTAGCCCCGTTATTGGAATCACCCTGCCCACAGGTGAGTTATATTAGGTTACATAAACAAAAAAAAAATCTATATGAAACGTAAATCGATTTTACATTATCATATTGTAATGTCATTATGTAATATTAATTTTAACTTGATATGCGACCTTAAATTAGATATGCTCGAAATGAGTACTTCATGTTAAAACGATATGCGTATTGCATAACCAGTAATTGATATGCCCATATCGATTTTACGGCGACTACCCACTAACTACTTGAGATTCTCCTAATAAAGCAAACATTACTATACCTACTATACCTGAAAACTTTCTCTATCGTTTTTACTTGAAATACTCTTTTCGACCAGGTCAAATTTACCTGGCCACATATCAAATAAAAATTGATCTGAATGATGATGAATTAAAATTTATCTTAAATAATGTAAAAACGATCTACGTTTCATATCGACTTTCTTTTGGGTGTACCAACTGTACCTAAATTGATATAAATTAGATTTATATGCAATGTAATGTAATCGAACTTTTCAGTATCCGACAACGTTACCCATATCGAATTAAAATTTATCTTAAATAATGTAAAAACGATCTACGTTTCATATCGACTTTCTTTTGGGTGTACCAACTGTACCTAAATTTATATAAATTAGATTTATATGTAATGTAATGTAATCTTTTGTAATGTAAACTTTTCAGTATCCGACAACGTGACCCATATCGTTTTTACATTAAATACTATTTTTGACCAGGTCAAATTTACCTGGCCATATTTATACCCGTTACTCGTAGAGTAAAAGGGTATACTAGATTCGTGCAAAAGTATGTAACAGGTAGAAGGAAGCGTTTCCGACCCTATAAACTATATATATTCTTGATCAGGATCACTAGCCGAGTCGATCTAGCCATGTCCGTCTGTCCGTCTGTCCGTCTGTCCGTCTGTCTGTCCGTCTGTCTGTCTGTATGAACGCTGAGATCTCGGAAACTATAAAAGCTAGAAGATTGACATTTTGCATGCAGATTCTAGGAGTTCCTACGCAGTGCAAGTTTGTTTCAAAAGGGTGCCACGCCCCCTCTAACGCCCACAGTCGCTTATATACAATTTTAAAAATTTCAATATTTCGGAAAAGTAAAAATGCAGTTTAATGGTGTTTATCAATACCTATCGAAATGTAGAAGAAATTTTTTAAATCGGACCATTCGTTAAAAAGTTACGGCGGATCAAAGTTTTTATCTTCATCTCCTTCGCAATTTCTTTAGCTGAGTAACGGGTATCTGATAGTCGGGGCACCCGACTATAGCGTTCTCTCTTGTTTTAAAATAAAATTGATCTTAAATAATGTTAAATCAATTTACGAACTATACCTAAATTTATATAAATGGGATTTATATCTAAATTAATGTAATTTAACTTTTTAGTATCCGACAGCGTGACCCATCTGACCGTAACGCCCCAGGGTCCGGAGAACAACAACAGCGAGTACGGCGCCAACGTGACAATCACGTGGAAGGTTCCCTGCAAGTCGAACGGCGACATTGAGTACTTCCAACTGGGCTTCACGGGCAAGCGGGATCACTTCGCCTCCGTGGCGTTCCAGCGGAAGGTGGAATTGGACACGGAGAACCGACAGGGTCGGATTTCCTACACGGAGACGGAGATGCAGCCGCAGTATGACTACACGGTGCAGGTGCAGGTGAAGAATCGTGGTGTAGATCAGCTGAGTGATAGCGTGGCAGGCACTTGGCAATCCCCAGCGGGATGTGAGTATATGGAAGGGAAAGGCTTATAGAAGTACCCAATTCATTGGTTTCCCTTCCAGTGCCCACCGTTCCGAGTGAGGAACTGATCAAGCTAATGCGTGCCAATGTCGAGGAGACGACTAATCCCACGAAATCGGCCATTGTTCGTCTTCCCGCTGATATAATGACCTCCGACTCGGGTGACATCAAGTATGTGGCCCTTATGCTCTCCCAGAAGAGCTGTGCTGGCATTCCTACCTTAAAATACGACACAACGGGTGACCATTGGCCCCAAGTGCTATCCTACCAGGAAGCGGGGGCAGATGGCACTGGGGATTGCAGTCTGCAGTACCAAACCACCGAGGAGCGCTGGCATCCGGTGCCTGTTCAACGGCAGGGAAAAGTCCTTCAGCGGGACTCAACCTCCAATGAGGAAATAGTCTTCACCATCGGACTGGACAAGTGCTCGGAGACCACGAAGAGATATTGCAATGGACCCCTGCTACCCGATACGGACTACAATGTGGTGGTCAGGCTCTTCACCGCCTCTGGTTACAGCGATGCTGCAGTTCTGAATTTCAAAACGAAGGCGGCCATCAAGGTCACCCTGATCCTGGTCAGCGTCTGCAGCTGCCTCCTCTTGGCCTTTGTCCTTGGCTTGGCAGTTCTCTGGGTGCGCAAGCGGTTGGCCTGGTAGGTTAAATTATCTAGTGATGTTTTCCTTACTGAGGAGTTTTCTTGACTCTCAGGAAACGCGACTCTGGTCAGGGCATCGAGGATCCTTTCGGCAATGTGATCGCCAAGAACTTTGCCATCTTTTATGCGGAGGTGGCCAAGCCGGAGAAACTGGCGAGGGAGTTCAAGGAGATCACCGTGGTGGCCCTGGAGCTGAGCTATTCTGCCTCCGAGTTGGGTTGCCACAAGAATCGTTATGCGGATATATATCCTTGTAAGTGCTTATAAAACTTGGCTAAACCCTCTTTATAAATATACCTTTCAATAGATGACAAGAACCGGGTGATTCTGGATATAGATGCTGAGGGATCGGACTACATCAATGCCTCTTTCATAGATGTAAGTTGTAGTACTTGACTTATAGATTTAGTCCTCTTAAATCTACACCTATTTAAAAGGGTCACACGCGTAAGAAGGAGTACATAGCCACACAGGGACCAAAACCAGAGAGCGTGATGGACTTTTGGCGCATGATCCTGCAGTACAACGTTAGGGTTATAGTTCAAGTAACCCAGTTTCGCGAGGGAAATATTGTGAGTGTCTAAAAACCCCTTCTTTAAATTTATTTTAAATCGATTTCCTTTTCTAGATCAAATGTCATGAGTATTATCCCTATACCATGAGGGGATTAACAGTGACCGTCAAGTCCAAGGAAGTCTTTGAGCTGTACGATCGCACCGAATTGACAGTTGTGCATGATAAGTATGGTTTGAAGGAGAAGGTTGTCCACTTCTATTTCAAAAAGTGGCCCGATCACGGCTGTCCCGAGGATCCTATGCACTTGATTACCCTCGTTAAGAAGGTGAAGGCGGAACGGCGGCCCAGTTACTCGCCCATCGTGGTCCATTGCAGTGCGGGAGTGGGCAGAACGGGCACCTTTATAGGTCTGGATCTGATCATGCAGCGTCTGAAGAGCGAGTCGAAAATCAATATTTTCGAAATAGTCAAGAAGCTGCGTTTTCAAGTGGGTTTATTTGGTTATACGACTAACTAGTATCTCTATCATTTAACTACCTTAAATTTACAGCGCATGAAGATGGTGCAGACGCAGCAGCAGTACACTTTCCTCTATGCCTGCACCTATGAGCTGGTGAAGCACAAGATTCCCAGAGCGGCCTTGAAATTGGAGGGTCGTCCCAAGTCCGTGACCATGCCGGCCATTACCGCTCCCAAGAAGGTGAGCTTCCCGGACGTAGATGTGGGCAGTGGTGATGCCTTTGTGGCCACTGCTCCGATGTCCGATCTGGAGAACGGTGCGCCCACCCTGCAGCTACCTAGCAGATTCCCTGGAATCCGGAGGAGTAGTCCCCCAGACGACGGAAACGATAGTCCAACTACGAGCAGCATTATGTGAGAGTGTTTATTTATAGCATTTATACCAGCGAGCACAACTCAACCAGCAATAATAGCCAAAGAAAAATGTGACGAAACTTGAAAGTTGTATTTAAAAACTGTTTTTGTACATAAATGTTATTTATAAAGAAGAGCATGTATCACCGACAATACATATATATTTTTTGTTTTTATTAAAATGGGTTGTCAAGGATTCTTATAACAATAAACATAATTATGAAATCACTTTTAAATAATTTTAATCTTTTGAATTCAAATTTGGCGGTTTATTTGAGAACATTTAGAGCGAGACAACTATAGATCGACATCAGCTGAAATACCTCGCTTTACAACACAGTCTTGGTTTTAGTGTTGTGTAACGAGCTATTTCGGCTATAGTAAATAATTGTATTTATTTTGGTAAAACTAATTTGTACGCTGCAAAATGTCTGAGCGCAAAGTTCTAAACGTAAGTAAACAACGAGTAAATCCTAGACCCCCACCTAACCACATCCCTTGCAGAAATACTACCCCCCGGACTTCGACCCGTCGAAGATTCCGCGGATGAAACTGGCCAAAAACCGCCAGTACACCGTGAGATTAATGGCTCCATTTAATATGCGCTGCAAAACCTGCGGCGAGTACATCTACAAGGGCAAGAAGTTCAACGCGCGCAAGGAGGATGTGGACAACGAGACGTACCTGGGCATCAGGATCTATCGGTTCTACATCAAGTGCACCCGCTGCCTGCAGGAGATCTCCTTCAAGACGGATCCGCAGAACACGGACTACGAGATCGAGGCGGGGGCCACGCGCAATTTCATGGCCCTCAAGTTGGCCGAGGAGCAGGCGCGCCGCGAGGAGCAGGAGCTGCGCGACGAGGAGGCCAACAATCCGATGAAGCTGCTCGAGAACCGCACCCAGCAGTCGCGCAACGAGATCGAAATGATCGAGAGCCTGGAGGAGCTGCGGGATCTGAACAGACGGCAGCAGACGGTGGACTACAACACGCTGCTGCAGCAATACAACACGGTGGAGACGGAGCGGGAGCGCCTGGAGCGGGAGGAGCGCGAGGATGAGGAGTTCATTAAGTTTGTTCTTACTTGCATTAGTTGATAAGACTTTCCTTTAACCGCTTTTCTTCTTTTAGATCTGTAAACTTCAAGAACAAAGCCGAAGGAGGCTCTCGTGTTGTGGCAGAGGAAATCATTGAGGAGGTCAAGGAGGAGCCGGTGGATCTGCAGCCAGCTCCACCACTACCCAAACAGGCCAAGACCAGCACGCTGAGTGTTTCCGCCTTCTCGTCCAGCAAATTAGCATCTTCACAGCCATTGGTGAAAAGGAAGACGCCCTTAGTACTGGTCAAACCAAAGGCAGCCACAGTAGCAACGTCCACGGAAACCAAACAAACTGCCACCTCGACCTCAGTAGTATCAACAACGGCGGAAACTAAAGCTCCAAATCCGCCAGCAGCCGCTCCAGCTGGTCTTTCGCTCTTATCTGCCTATAGCGATAGCTCCGAGGATTCCAACTGACCAAGCAGCATTTACCTGACGCATTTAACAAATAAATATATATTGATACTTTACCTAAAGATTTTTGTATACTTTAACACTGAAAGTATTTCACACGTCCGAGAAAATACACAATGGAGATCAGTAATTGGAATAATGCATCATTTTATTAAATATTTTGACTTTATTTTATTCTGTTTTCGTTCACACTTTGTCAAGGCCAATCATAAGGCAAACTAATTTCAAATTCAACCAAAAAGTTAACTAAAATCAAAAGTAACTGCAAATATCCTTTAAAGGACTCCACTCCCACTCATTTGGAGCTGTCATAGCCGATTTTCTGGCAATCATTTGATCAAGGGGTGTGCTCCGACTTACGAAACTATAGGTATACCAACTACAATTAAACCCTAGGTGATATATATACAGAGGTGAATATGTGTTACGCCTAAAACTCGGGCAATCAAAATAATAAATAATATCACAAGCGAAAGAAAATTATAAATATACATATTACGGTTACGGATTATCAAATATTAGGTATTACAAGTTCTACAAAATCGATTCTAACGATTAATTTCATAAATTACGAAGACACTGGTATGTTTCTCTAGCTGTCCTATTTCCTTAGCGAAAGGCATCAATAAGGCCGCCTGCTCTGCGGTCGTGGGCCAGTCAAAAAAAAAGTCTGGTCCACCGTCTACAAATTATAATTACGTGTTAAACAGTCTTTGTTCGTTTTGGGGGCGGGATGCTGGTGGGGGCTGCAGCCTCCGATTTTTGGTATATGATCCTGATCATCGTGCTCATTTGGTTTAGCCTCCTCCTCCGTTCAAATGTCCACAGTTGTGCACTTCTGGATGGAGTTGTAGTTGCCGCTGCCGCTGGCTCCTGCGCTGCACTTGCGTGGCAGCACCTTAGGCACCGCTTCACTTACTACCATTCCCAATCCACCAGCATCGCCACCCCCGCCACCGTCGTAGTTGTGATTGTTGTTCTGCAGGAAGTGCTGCTGCTCGGCTTCGGCATGATTCAGCTCGTATAGCTCCATGTCGTCGTACTCGGCAGCGCTGATGCCGAGAGCCCTGGTGGGCGCGTACTGTAGGTCGCTCTCTTCGTCCTCCTCCTCGTCGTCCGTGAGATGCTTGTGCCTGGGCATGGCCACCACAAAGTCCTCCAGGCTCCGCTTGACCGCCGCATCTGAACCGGTGCCCGAATCCTTGCTGGAAAGATGATCCTGCTGGGCCTCCAAGTCCGTCTGCTGCAGATAGCTGAGGGTGAGACCCTGTTCCAGGCAGCGCTGTTCGTAGGACGGCGTCGTGGTCACAATGAGGCGACTGTGCGTGGCCTCGCCATTGCCACAGCCCAGATCTGCCAGGCTGCGCGGCCTCAACTGCGTCTGCTGCTGCTGCGAGGCGATTCCATCGAGGACCAGTTGCGATTGGTGTGGTCTGAGCTGCGTGCGATTCAGTGTGGTCAATTGCGTCTGATCCTTGTCCAATGTGGAATGCAGACTGGCCTGAGTGCGAGCAGCTAACCTCTCGGCAGCCAGGCTCATGCGTAGCTTTCTTTTCTGGTACCGCAAAGTGCACCAAATGATGCAGCAGTCCACCACGACACAGGTGACGGTCAGCAGAATAATGCCCATCAGCAGGACGTCCCAATTGAGATTCTCCTTGACCACCACCAATTCCGACTGCAGCGTAAATGTTCGCGAGTTGTCCGTAATCTCACAGCGGAAGTGCCCGGCATCGTTGGACTGAGCATTTAGGATTATTAGCAGCTCCTTGTTATTCGAAAAGTAGTAGCGATCCCCATCCGGAGCCGTTGGCGAGATGTGTATGGGTTTGTTCTCCTTGAACCACTCGCGGTGCGGATGCTCCAGCTCAAAATCTGCATTGGCCGTTTCACTGAGACACTGCAGCACACAGGTGCGTCCCACAACCACCTCCTGGTGAGCCAAGGGAATGCTGGGCTGAGGTTTATCTGCATTAGGAACGAGAAACATTAGTGGAAGTTAAAATACAAAGTTAGCCAGAACTTACCATTCACCACCAGCGTCGCATTGACCTTTATCTCGCCCGCAGCACTCAACGCTGTGCAAGTGTAAATGCCAGAATCGCTGAGCTTGGCGTTGGTTATCAGGAAGGCGTTCTCCTCGCGAATCACCTGTAGCCGTCGCTCGGTGGCCGCCGGAAATTCGCTACCTCCGAACTTTTGCAACGCTATCTCAGGCGTGGGATCACCGCTAGCCGAGCAGACCAACCGAGCCGTTTCCCCAGCATCCAGGGTTAAATTTGAGGGCACTTGCAGGAAGGTAGGATGAACTGTGTGTAGGCAAAGATATAAATTAATATAGGTAGACGAACAAGTCTTAATGTGATCTTACTTCCTATGGAAATCTTGAACTTCTGTGCATAGGTGGTTCCAAAAGCATTCGACACCACACACTGATAGCGCCCAGCGCTTTCGATGGTTACATTGGAGAGTCTTAGGTAGCCGTAGATGGAGGTCTGATTGGTGCTCAGGTCGTGGCGGATCTGGGTCTCCGTGCTGGCACCGTCATGCAGTTCCCCCGGCCGCTCCTGGACATGCTGGTTGTCGTGGCGCCACTTGATCTTCAGCTCATCGGCGGCGGCCAGTGAGGCGGCAGTCGGAGAACTGGCAATGCACTCCAGAGTGATGTTGGCTGCATTCACGGCCAGCATGTTGTCTGGTTCCTGTTCCACCCTCGGTTTCGGTGAGTCCACTAAAAGAAAACAGAAGAGGTGAGTCACAATTACATTTTTAACTAGTATTAACTACACTTACCGCACACTAACTCCGAACTGCTTAGGGACTTCAGATGACGATCGAGCAGATGCTCCGGATAGCCGCAGACCGCATGCTCGGCCTGCTGGGGAAAGCGGTTCTTCAGCCACTGTTGGAACCAAATCAAATCGCAGTCGCAGATGAAGTTCAGCGATTTAAAAACCAACTTGTTAAGCCGTAGCATATGCTCGAAGGCATTCAGCTGGATGCTGGCCAGGGCATTGGAACCGAGATTGAGTATCTCCAGGTTGTTGAGGCCACTCATCGCCTTGCTGCTGATCTGCTTCAGATTATTGCCGTGCAAATCCAAGCGTCGCAGTTTGCGAAGAGCCTTGAACGGAGCCGCCGCACTCTGGTCCTCAATGATCCAGGACAGGCGATTGCGTCGCAAATTCAACTCCTCCAGATTCTTAACACAATCGAAGGTATTCTCCTGCAGATATTGCAATCGGTTGTGGGCCAAATTGAGAGTTTTCAGCCGATGCAGGCAGTCCAAGTGCTGCGGCTTAAACTCGTTAATAGCATTGTTGGAGAGATCCAGCACTTCCAGCGACTGAGTGAACTCCCAGGTGTCCACCTCGATGCGATTTATGGCGTTGTACGATAGATTGAGGTGTCGCAGCTTTGTCAGATTGAAGAGACCCTGGCGGGAAAGTGAACTGATCTGGTTCATGGCCAGATCAATGGTCTCGATGTTATGCATCACATAGAAGACGCCGTCCTGCAGCGCCCGGATTTTATTGGACTTCAGTTGGAGGTTTTTCATCGACACCAGGCCACTGAACGTGGACCAGTTGATCTCCAGTTGGTTGAAGTTGAGAGCTCTGTAATTAGATGCATTAGTTATAGAGGATATAGTGTCATAATTGGCAGTACAAAACTTACAGCTTCTTCAGTCTGTTCAAATTTTTGAAAACCCTTATGGGCAGAGTACTCAGGCGATTGTTATTCAGTTCCAGATCCGTGAGGTTGTTTAGAGCCGCAAACGAATGCTCATTTACAGTGGTTATCTCGTTAAAACTGAGTATTCTGTGGTTTAAAAATAAAATAAGTTAGAAAATTGTTTAATTCATGGAATTATCTCACAACTTACAAGTGAACTAGACTATTGGGCTTCGGAAAAGAGTTAACCTCGATGGTATGCAATTGATTCCTGGACAGATCTAGCGTTCTTAGCAAAGGTAAAGCCGCCAAGGCCTCGCTGGAGATGCTGGTGATATGATTGTTGGCCAATACCAAGTGTTTCAGACCACTAAGTCCTACGAATTTAGGTATTACCTCCAATAAATTCCTTTTTAAGGATCTAAAATTAAGGTATATTGAATTATAAATTAAGCTTTTATTTAATGAACCTAAGCTGCACTTACACTTTTGTCAAATTGGACAGATTACGAATCTCCAGGACGGTTGTGTCGTTCAGTTTGTTGTTGGCCAGATGCCTGGGGAATAGATAAAAATTAATTGATTGCATTTATAAAATCCTTGGCTTGTCGAATGCACCTCAATTATGCCGCAATTATTGATGCAAAGCTACTGATAGTAAAAGAACGGCGTTTGCATAATTTTGCTATGCATTAAATTGATTAAAAGCGCAACGATAAAATCGCAACCCCAGAAAAAAAAAATTAAAGGAAATATTGAGGGCAAACGTCGATGTTGAGGGTTGTGCCACTCTGTAATTTATATTCGCATAGTTGTCTGCAGGGGGTGGACATTTTGCCATTTCATCCCCCAGGAATTTGTGGATTTAAAAAAGGCTGCTATTAGCCTCTTTTTTTTATACGTATAGAATTTGAGCTACAAAATAAATAAACTTGTCGAAAAGGGACTAAAATCGATTGAATGGTTTGTTTTACTTGAGTTATAATAAGTTTAGTTTTATAGAAATCTTTAAAAGTGAATTTAACGGACAATAATTGACATTTATGTGTGTTAAATAAAAAGTAAATATATTCTTCCATTTGAATGATTTGAGTAGATATTCATTTCTTTTGAAAAGTATGTTTATTTCCCCCATTTTTCCTATAATCCGTATACTTACAGAGTTTGCACGTAGCTGGGCAAGACGGGCACCCGTTCCAGATGCAGTTTGTCGCAGTCGAAGAGGACATTGAGGCACTTGCAATCCTTGGGACAGTCAATGTTGTACTTATTGTTAGCCTTGGCCGCCGCTGCTGCTGCCTCCAGTGCCTTTTGAGCCTGCTCATACTGCCCGCCATCGTCGGCCACGAATCCACTCGTCTCCAGTGATCCCGATTGTATGGAAATGGAGGATGAAATCCCCGAACCCTGAGCTCCAGCCGGCGGATGTGAGGCGGCCAATGGGTAATGCAATGCTGCCATATCCTCCTCGTCCACTTCGGCATCCGAGTCATCTTCGCTGAGGGCCATAAAGTGCTGTCTGGCATCCGTGTATCTTCGATTTCCTCCGCTTGATACCGAACCTACTCCTGATCCCGAGGATCCTCCTCCTCCGTTTCTGGTCAGCATGGCAAAGAGTTGCTGTTGCGGCAACTGCTGATTGTAGGAGGCTCCACCGGACTTGAGGAACGCACTCAGGGGAGATCCCCCATTGGAGCCGGATCCTCCACCTCCTCCTCCGCTCAAAGATGACGGCGACTGGGCGGCGCTTTGACAAATTGTGGCCGCTGTTATCAGCAGCATGTACGTAATTAGCAGCAATTTATTGATTTTATTGAAATCATTGGTTGTAGAATAATTGCAATTATCATTATTGCGACTTGCTGTTTCTGATGCTGCATTGCTGTTGTTGTGTCGCCGACGTCGTCGCCATGACATTAAAAATTTGCCATTGCCATCGGTCGTTAGTTCGCTGCTCCTACTTGTTTTCATGTTGCATATTCGATGATTACTAATGACCATGGTGGTGGTGCTGCTGCTGCTATCATCATTTGCATGTGCCTCCCTCGATTGCCGGCCTTTTATGGCCGAAACGTGCATTTTGCGGCTTTTGTTAAATTCGTTGATTTCCATTTCCAATTTTCAAGCGGCATTAAGAAAGCGCCGTTAATTCCTGCGAATGTCACTCGGCGTCCGCCAGTTTTGAAAAGCTTCTTCCGCCAGCCGAACTTGCTGCGATCCTCCCGTGCATCATGCCTTAAAAAAAAGGACAAACAAACGATTAGATTCGAGTTTAGGGTGCTTTAAACTAAGTTCTTAAATGTTTCTACATTTTTTCGTAATTCTTCTTTTTCTTTCTACTTCATAGATCAAAGTTAATATTTCCTCCAGTCCCAAAACTGCATAGTTAATTGGATTTACAAATGTTCAAATATTTAATAATATCTACCAACAACTATGATTTATGAAATTATGATTTTAATTGCTGCAAATACAAGGTAACCACTAAAACCATTTTGTATTTCTCGCCTTTTCCCAGCATAAAACCTCAAAAGTGTATATTTTTGCATAATTTATAAATATATAAATAATAATTGTGCAGAAAGTGCCAGTGTCTCTGGCCGAGCAGAGAATTTATACTCATTAAATTAAAATACGACCGGATGTTTTGTGCGAAAAAAACGCGCAGAGCCAACGATTTTATAATGCAAACAAAACAAAATAAAGGCGAGCGCTTTGCTGCTGACTGCAAAAAGAGCAAAACATCGTCATCATCATCACCGTTGTGGCAACGGCGACGACTACGAGAGGCCCCCACCCGGAGGCATTCGGAATTCAGAACTCAGAAATCAGAATCAGACGTAATGTCTTCATCTTGCTCCAGAATTGTGCAGCGTGTGCAGTTCGGTTTTTATTTTCATTTTGAATTAAAATGTAGAGGGCGTTGGGTGTGCGATGGTATTATATAGGGGGTCCAAAGCTCGCTATTCGCTACGCTAAATTCGGTGACAGTACGGCGGGGAGATAAAGAATGGATGCTGCGCAGTTTGAGGCTGCTATCACCTTTTTGGTGTCCCGTTCCGGATACGAACGACCACAAATGATGCTGACTGGAGCACTTTCCCACCAAATAGCCCCTCCATAGAGAAAGACACCCACAAAAAAGGGCAGCTGGCAACGAATTAAAGAAAATACTCGGCAATTACCGCAGCTCCGCAGAGTTGGCATACAATACCATGCCATATAGTGTGCTACATATATAGACAGGCTACTAAAAATGGTCTGGCACAAACACGGATACTCTATACACGCGCGTAAAAATGCCCAGACAACCAAATTTAGTAACACGCAAACGGAGGCAGCCACACAAAAACCGAAGCGTAATGAAATCAAATAAAAAGAGCAGGAGCAGCCGCTTACTTTGGTCTCAAGATTTTCTTCAAAGAGTTTTCTCCACATTTCTCACAGCTCCACGTCTGCTGCACTCGCCTTGTCTATATATAGTAAAGCTACATACTACCCGTTGCTGTTGTTGTTGTTGGCCAGGGAAAACCTCAAGTGTCCGAACTGAAGAGGCTTTGATTAGTTTCAGCCGAAGACTTGGCCCCAATTTCTTGGAGGAGTGCTTTTATAACTACCTATCTGTATCTCGAGATTGTCGCACGTTTCCCGTTCTACATTTAGTGTGTTTTCTTACGGCCCTCTGCAATTATCTAATCAATAGGTTTGCACTGTCTTTGATCGCGGTATCTACAGAGGGAAATGTTTATATTTGTTGATATTTGTTCAAGATCGTTCGGGGTAAATATTTGGCTGGCCAAGTGCTTGCTCCAGAGAAAGGTGTTCGTTCAGAAAAGCTCAAACTAATCAAAGGGTTTACCTTTGGATTCAGGAAATTGGTCATTTTATAGGGGTAAATTTAATTTAGGATAAGTCTTCTAGGGTAAATATTAATTAAAGAGATAAAGAACTTTATAACAGACTGATTCTCACAACATTAAACTTTACACTTCAAACATCTCCTAAATGAAATAACCATTTGTATTAGTCATTTTTTATACCTTAAGTTTAAATAAGTTTTTAATTTGAATTAAAAAAGTATTAAGGGATCATCAATTGGTATTACCTCTACTTTTTAAAGAAAGGTCATTATATAATTTTGATAAATTTAAACCATCGAAAGCTCCCAAATTTGCGGAATCAAGCGGGATTAGGGCTATCGATCATCATTCGTAAAATATGTCCGATTTCGCACCTATCGATCAGCACTTTGATGAAGCCCAAACTTCCTAAGCATGATGCGGGCCATTAAATCATTATCTGGGGGCTATCTTCCGATCTGGTGGATCAATTTTCACACACCAATCAGCAGAGAGCGCTAATTTCCTCTGCCCACCGATGTGCCACCATTTTGAATCCGATTTGCATGCATAATCATCGGCTAATTCGCATATTGATAAGCCCGGGTTCTGTTTACACCGAAAAAGGTTAAAGCCGTGCTTGGGGATTTGAGGGAAAAACCCACGCCGCCTGAAACCATCTCTTGGGCTTTCACTCTGAACTCATTTTCGGACAGCTAACAGACAACAACAAAATTTACGATCAAATGCAGATTTTTTTCCTCGTTTTTTGTTTAATTTTTCAGTGTTCAGTCGATTGGTTTTTTTTTTGTTGGTCCGTTGTCAGTCGTCCGTTGTCAACTCCCTCACAATTTATTAGATAACGCTCGGCCCCGGGTATTGTCTTCTTATAAAAACGACAAAATGTCGACGTTGTCGCCTGTCCGTTTGCCGATGATGATATGATAATACACCCATTGATATATGTATACAATGGTCCCAGTTCCATCCACACATATGTTTATGCTACACGCATGTATGTAGTATACCACATACATGGCCCCATACAGTAATGATCAACGTGTGTATCTTCCGATGATCATTAAGAACGACATCGACAATCAGTTTTCGTTGTTTATATAATTATCGTATCTGTGCATTCGGGTCTAAATACATATACCTACTTCTTTATTAGCATTTTACTTCACTAAATGCCTTGGCTGCATTTTTATTTGACTTAGTTTTTAGTGGCTTTTGGCTCAGCCGTCGATTCGGATTTTAACATTTAAATTGGTAATTTTGTATTGCCTTTTTCACTCGACTTGTTGTTGTCGCCCACAGCTTTTTGTCGTGGTTTTTTGTTTTTATCTTTTTTTTTTGGTTCGCCCAAATGATTTTGTCTGTCTTGTTTTTGGTTTTTTCTATTTCTCTTGTTTATTACCTTTGCCAAACGAATAAAAATATACCATACACAATATTATTGTGAATAAGCTGACTGTTGCATTTGTTCAAGTGTTTTTTCTTCTCGCTGTCGTTGGCGTGTATAAAAAAACACAAAAAATAAAGAAAAGCGAGGCAAGAAAAAACAGAGTCAAAAAGCAAAAAACAACCAAAGCCCAAGCAGTGGGCGGTCGGAAAATTGAGGTGAAAAATGGGTGTGGGGGTGGAGGTGGCCGTGTGGCAAGCAGTGGGTGGGGTGGGGTGAGGCGGGGTCGCCGAGCAGCTGCAACACAAGCGATGCGATGCTGCCAAAACCCACGGCACAGTGGGAAAAATCTGTTTGTTTTGACCAAATATTTCGGATATCAGCTATAGAAGTATTAAAATTAATTTATGAGTTAGGAAAAGATTAGGGCTGTTTTCTAGTCCGTAATTATAATCTAAGATTGATAGAAAAAACTTTGAAATTATATGTTGGTTAGTTTCTAATTAAAAAGTTTTTCCTTGACTACACACAAAAAAATTTGATTGGTAAAATTGACCAACAAAGATAGTTACGTAACTATTAAAATAGTTACGTGTATTTTGTTTTTGCTTTGGGTTTGTGTCTTTGCTAATTGTGTGTATTTTGTTGTTGTGAAATGACAATTTACTTAGTAGAATTGACAATTTTGCTGGTTGGGGCCTGTTTGACAATTATTACAGTTGATTTTACCAAGTTTTTTTTTTGTGTGTAGAATTCAGACATTTTTAATATTTTTTAAAGCCCTAAACATACATTTTTATTTTTAAATAACAGGATGATTAGTTAATCAGTACAGCAAATAATACAAATTGTTTTTTTTCGACCTTTTGACCTCTTGCTAGGAGTGCATCTAAGTTTCTTTCGAACTAATATTTTAAAGCTCATTTTAGTCCTTTGTCCCACTGTGACCGTTAGCAAGACAAAGCCAAATGCAGAAGCAAGAGGAAGACAAAACGTTGAAGCTGCGCTTTGTCGCGTGTTTATTTGTGGTCTTTGTATTTGTATTTCTATCTAAGTTTTCTCTGTCGCAGCTTTTGCTCTGCCTCTGCTCTGCCGCTGTGGTGAAGTGTGCAATGTGCGTGGGCAGAGAACGGAAATCGCGTGCAGTCGACGTCAGCGTCGCTGCCCGTTGTCGTAACCCTGTAGTTCTCAAGGGGGCCGGTGGCACTTTCGGGGTAGAAAAGGGATCGACCACCCAGTGGTCCCTTAAGGGTCAATAGGTGGCGTGTGTATTTTTTACAAGAGCAAAAGAGTTATCGGGGAGTGAACACTTCTATGTGAACACTTCTATATGAGTTAAAAAAATTGTAAAATGAAATTTTTGACAAGTATATAATGATTTTAATAACGAATACAACTTTATTTTGTTTATATAAAAAACAAATTTAAAAAAAGTTAAAATAATAAAATAAAAACTTAATAATGAGATAAAATAAAATAATAAATGATAGAATTTTATTTCTTTTTATATTATTTATATTTAATAATGAGCAATTTAGCTGCAGCAATATTTTTAACAATGTTTTTATTGCCATCGATTATACGATATCGGTAGTCGCAATATTAATCGTAACGGATTGCCATCACTACCCAACTCCGCTACCATCACTAACCCAACGCGTGCGCCAAATTTTGTAAACATTGTATTGTCTTATTGTAAATTGTCTTATTGTACATTTAAAGTGTTATATTTTGTTGTGTTCTGAAGTGTCGTCAACAGGTGAGTACCGCCATATATGTTGTGCAAGTTAAATCCCTAATAATATGTGATATTCAGCCATGAACAGCAACAGGCACATTCGTCGATTAATTAAAGAGGAAAAGGAGAAATGTCAGAAAAGATTTAGGGAAATAGAGCAAGCGCAGCCGCCAAGTGAATTAGAAGTGTCTGATAGTTGGGCATTCAATACAGCAGATTTCGATAATCATATGGAAG